TTAGTACCATTTTTATAACTCTTTGATATGAATCGGCAGAGGTTCGAACACACAAACTTCCGCATCCAGGTTGGATGCTCTAACCATTAGGCCGCCGGAGCGGTCATCATCCGTAATTAGAAAAAGAAACAAGTTGAAATAGTCTAAATGAAAGTGTGTACTTTATGTTTTATCCAGAATTTGTATTTAGATTTGGAGGCATACTAAAACATTACGTGGCAGTAAAAGAATAACACAGTTATAATTCTTTTGATCACAATACGTACATGAAACTTAACTATTATATTTCTTAACAAAAAACTAGTTTTGAAGTTATACAGGTACATACTTCGAATGCGGAAAGGTGCGTAGGGACTAATAATAAATATAGATACGGTGTTTTCCCTATGTTATTACTATCCAATTTCACCTGATTCTTTTGCTTCACTAAGAATTTTGTACAACATAAAACGTCGTTAGCATTCATTGGAGGGGGACGGAGGCATCGTCAATATAAATCATAATTAACACAATTCGAGTTAATCCATCGCCTCTATTGATCAAAATAAGATATGCTATTTCGAAGCTTACAATTATAATCTCATTTTTAAACAAACAATGCATTGCCTGGTTTTTCTTTTAATAACATGTTAAAGCCATTCTGTTCGAAATAAGTCTAAAATATCTCGATAGGTTAGGATAAACTGATAAGAGTTTCTGATGTTTACACTAATTATCTGGCAGTTGAAATATAGACCTTTAGGCAAAGATATGATCCTTATCGCTTCCTGCCTCATTTTAGGTATCAACAAATTCAAGGGGAATAGGGTATTTATTTTTAGCACATTACAAACATTCATTATAAGGGGGCCGGGGCCAGTTTTTATGCACAAATTTAATGCCGCAGTCAGTAACCTAGTACAAACAAAATCATTAAAAAATCGAATACATAAGTGAGGTCAAGAAGGTCCATATTTTATATACCTATATTAAAACAACGCATAAAAATTGTTTTCACTTGACCAGAGAAGTCAATGGCAGTCCATAGCATAAGAAGTTTATGTACCCAACCCCTAATTTATACCTGTAACTTTCATGTCCGAAGTTCATTTTTGACACCATGTGATGCTCACAGTGCAAACACAAGCCCTTTTTCTAGATGACAATTTTGCAAAACAGGCTTATGCAATTGAAAACAGTTGTCATCCAAGCTGGCTTTTTTTATATATTCTACTTACCCCAAACCTGTTTACTGCTATGGGAGGCTAGCTCTTCTTCCTAGCCAACTATTGGTATTTCACTATCAACATACTATAGAGTAACTATGGAAAATTTACATCCCTCACATCAAGTTCAAGAACAACTCAAGCCTAAAACACCTAGTTCAAAATATATCCATATATTTAATTAGTAAACAATAACAGCTGAAAAAGTCACACCATAGCCTTAAGTTAAGAAATTTGCGAAACTGGACCGTGCCACCTAAGTACTGCAATCTAAAATTCGCTGAATCAAGGTAAGTAACTCTGGACTACCAATTGTACAGTGAATCAGTAGTTGCAAGAGTACTTTCTCTTTAATGTTGTTTTCCAACTACGTGTTATTTAACTTTTATGGCCAACGTATGTGAATCACAGACTATACGTGTTGCAGAGAGTCAAAGGTTTGCATCTGTCCCGCTTAGCAGCAGATATGCATCTTTTAAAAACATATGCGCTTTCTCTTTTTCTTCAGATATTTAATGTATATTTTTCCAAGATGTATTCCATCGTGTATTAAACGGACAGCATTCTTCGTTAGCAACGATTTAAATCTATGGAATGTCGAATCCCCCGGAAGTACTGGGTTATAAATAGCTTTGTTATCTCAAGCGGAAGAAGAGAGGTGGCCATCAAGGTCTCAAAACATATTCTCGACCGACCACATGGTGGCGTGAAATGGCGTGACGTAGCACATAGAGTGTAGTTTCAGATTTGAAACCGCCAACCTTGGATGGACAGGAAACCGGCCATTGAACTAGATAGAACACAAAGAAATGCGAATTTTGAATTTCAGTTGTACAAAATTACATCAAAATAGCTTATCGTACATCGTCTGTATTTAAACTAACATGACATGTATGTTCCGTCTCCGATGGAATTATTAAATTGCCGTCGTCTGCAGGTAATGGATAGAAAATGTGTGTTCTGTTTCCTATGGAAGTATTACCCTGCCATCGTCATGATGAAAAATTTATATAGCATATGTAACAAAAAGGACGTGTTCACGTAAACAAAACGAGTTAGAGGTTTCAATTTTGTTGACACGTAGACATAACACCTTGGCATATATACGCTATTTTAGAGATATGTTTCCACAATATGGAAATATAATCATGTACATTAGACATGTCTATAAATATGCCAACAAATTGCTATCGGAAATTCTTTTTGCAGATATAATAGATGTTGTCTTTTCCACAATAGCAAAATAAATGTCTCTTCATGTCGACTACAGCTTAATACTTCCATATCAACAATATTTACATATTTAACTTGTATTAAGTAGCCGTCGTCATGACGAAATATTTCTACAGCATACATAATCAAGATGATATCTTGTAGGTCAACAAGATGAGAATTGTGCATGTAACGTATTATCATAATTATTCAGACATGATAGCATTCTTATATATTTACATTGTCTTGTAGTATCACCAGATAACAACCTAAATATGTCGATTTTCACCATGTACACAGAACCACATCAACAAATTGCAACCGGTAACAGGTCTTGCTGAGGCAAAGACGTTGTCTTGATTACGTATGCTATATAAAATCATGACGAAAACAGTTTAATATTTCTATAACAGGGGTCGATAGAAGTATCAAGCTGACGTCATCGTGACGAGATGCGTCTACAGAAATCTTTATCATTTTTTTACATTAACAAGATGTGTTGCCGAGCAATGTGGGGAGATAATTGTGTAGATACGATGATAAATTGTATAGCTATATTCTCTTACAGACGTGCTGTCATAGTCTTGCAAACTAACTTTGTACATTTGTCATAATGTTGACGTATGAGACGGACGTCGTCTTGATAACGAAGGTTATATAAATATATCATGCCAAAGACTTCTTATACTTCTATTATGATAAGAAAGGATCTGGCGTTGTTGTTTTAGACGTTTTCTATCATAACCTTCTTCTCGTTTCTAGTTACGAGAAGGTAGAAAGTTCAGCATTCATAAGAATAAGGTGTCACTTATGATGGTATAGATACGGTTACATCATTTTGTGGGGAATGCTTTGGCTACGAGAAGGTACCAAGAATCTGTAAGAAATAGACATGATACTCTTTTAGAGCTTGGAATCACACTGAGAATAACCAGTCCAGTGCCTATTTTTATATCCTGGAACTGGCAATTAACAGCGCTTCATCCAAGGTCAAAAGAAGTCTGTCTAAAAATCACGCTTGCTTCTTGCGTGCTATTCAAGGACAGCTTTAACTTTATATCAAGTTTTAGGGGGGTAGAGTGTGAGTGTGTGGACGGTATTTTTCCGAAGTAACGACCTTTTGGAGCATACGTTGTCCATAACCTTCCATTAGCAAGTGGACATTCACATCGTGAACTTAATTAATTTAATTAATTCCCTAGGGTGATTATCAATTACTTTGTTCCCAACATCACAACGCAATTTAATAAGGTTTTATTGATTGAATGGTGAGATAAAACATTATTTGGCTTCTATCCGATGGTGAACTATTGAACTGGCTTATTAATTAGACTTTTTCCATTACCAAGTGAAAGCTGAACAATAATAAATGCTTAATCTAAATTCATTTCAATGTCCTTATTATATTCAGGATATGAATTATTGATTGGACCACGCTTCTCCTACACTCCAAATCAATATCAAAGCACTATCTTAAATTTGGATGTTTTTGTCTTCCAATAACTAGAGATTTCAATATGTTGTACACAAATTAATATTTTCGTTTCTTTCTTTTAGAATTGATATCTTGATAATTCCATGTTTATTTTCTACTTGGTTACTGAATCTTGTTTGAAAACATTTATGCGCAATATCAGTAACATGTGATTTTTTTATCGACAACACAAAAAGAATTGCCTCGAGAGTAGGAGACAACATTTTGTTGTCTTTGCGAAAATGATGTGCAGTTAGTTGTTATGTATATGTAATTAATTTTTGTGTGTTAGTTTTAAACTTCTTTTCATTTTAGTTTTGTTTCATTAAATTTTATAGTAAGGATAATATTTTTACTGGATTTGACATTTTCACTAGTCAATTTAGTTCAGTTCTTTTAGCCTGATTAGAAAACGAAAAAATATTGCTACATTATATTTTTATCTGACCGAGTTCTTGACCTTTGTTCCAATTTTGTAAACGCTAATTGAAAATGATTGGTCATTACCAATAACATTTTCAGCCAACATGTTAGCTCTATTGTTATTGTTTTTGTAGGGTTTAACGCCATTTTTCAGCACAAGATAGGCTATATATTGCTCTATTGTAAACAGTTTTATTTTTAGATTCATTTCCAGTATGGGACTCTCATTCTAAGGGCTATTATAGCGTACGTGCTAAATGCTTTGTAGTGAGTGATCACGTGACCCATTTTTAAGTTTGGTTTAATTCTCAGCCTCAGTGTTTATGAGTCAGCTGTAAATTATACCTTCAGGCCGAAAGGTAATCCTGTTGTTACCATTTGAATTGAGTTTTTTTTATTTTAAATAATTTATTCACCCTGGAAAATGCTCTTCTTCACCAAAATTCTTGGACAAGACATTTATAAAAATTAATATTCTGAATTCTAAAGCCGAAATTATATTCTTGGTAACTCAACAAGGAACAGTTGACAAATTAACATGCATGTCACTAAAATATCTTTACAATTAAAGTCATTTTTGTTATTGTTAAAGAAATGGCTGACGTCATCAAGATATATATTTTGTAATACTAATTGCAGTAATTTGTGCAAGCTCAATGCATTTAGTAAACATGAGCATTGCTTACTGCTCCGGGGCCTAGTGGTCACAGCGTCCGCCTCGGATGCGGGAAGTCGCGGGTTCGAACCCCAGCCGAGTAATACCAAAGACTTATAAAAATGGTACTAACAGTTGCCCTACAGCGAGCTCAGCCTTAACATGTTAGTGTTAGGGCTGGTCGGGCTGATGTCAGGTTAATGTTAATGGGTGGGAGGGACATCGTGTTTCATGATTGCGGCATGATGTCCCAGTATTAGACATCACTATAAACTGCCACACTGCAGACATCATAGCGTAAAATTGTTCAAGCTATGCAAAAGATTCAAATCTCTCTCTCTCTCTCTCTCTCTCTCTCTCTCTCTCTCTCTCTCTCTCTCTCTCTCTCTCTCTCTCTCTCTCTCTCTCTCTCTCTCTCTCTCTCTCTCTCTCACTCACACACACACACAAACACAACTTAAAAAATAATCAATGTATTATTATTATTATTATTATTATTATTATTATTATTATTATTATTATTATTATTATTATTATTGAAACACAGTCGTAATGCGTTTTGTAAAAGACATATTTTGGTTAAATAGGAATTGTGTGTTGCTGTTTTACTTAAAAATTGAATATGCTTTTAGTTGTTTCAAACGTGTATGAAGTTAAACATAATACTAAGAAATGAATTTATGAAATAATTTATGATATTTCCGATATCATAAAACGATACACTTTGTCCAGTCTCATTTTGCAACCTTCCATTTAGTCAAGATACGCATGATTTTCTTCAATGATACATCTTTTAACATGTTAATTAGTGCTTAATCTTTAAATCAGTAAAGAAAATTAGTTTTTCCGATTCTAAATCTAATAAATATGTAGAAATTCGATTTGCAAGTTAGAATTCCAAACAAATTCAGTAGTATCTTAAAAATGCATTTATATATTGATTCTGAGGAACCACGACATTGTGGAACAGTAATCTGTGAAACCTAAATAAATTCTTCGTTTCTTACGCATCCTCCATCCATTAGATGACAAAAAATTTTAAGTTTTATTTGCAATTACAAACTTAATTCTACCAAACAATTCTGCTTAATAACTATATTTTGATGTTAATAAATCTAACAATTAAATACCTAAATTGCTAGTAAAATGAAAAAAAGAAATATCCCGAATCCAAATAGAAACCGATTTTTTTTTTCCATATGTAGACTGGTGTTATGATTCGTATGGAAAGAGCAATAAATCTGACTTTACTACCGTTACACCAGACATTAAATGTTAAGCAACACATTTTATGCACAGGCACATCCCAATGAGACCAATGATAGGTGCATATCCTACCCCAACCCCAAGCAACACAATATCACAATAACACATTGAAATATTGCTGATAACAAATTTAAAAGACATAACAGAGACACAAACATTGTGAATGATAAGAATTTTACACAGGCAAATAATAGATGACCGTTAAATGCAAAACTGAAATTTTAGCTAAAATCCATCGTTTCTAGACCAACTAAACACGTGAATCATTCACACAAAATGAAGAGCCAATCAAGGTCAGAATCCATATATGGTTCATTACTGGTAATCCATTTTGTAAGTAAGGGGCATGACTTTCACCAGCATTTGACACAAAATTAATTTTTGTTTACAGCTGATGTCTCTGGCTCATAATATGAAGAATTCAAATGTTAAACAAACAAAAATACAGGAGGTTGGTTGGGTAGAGGCATTTTCAAACTGGGAAGACATGCACTGTACTGAGTCATTGAAAATATTTATAAGTAAATGTTGCCAATAAGCACTTGTTCGTTTTTGTCACGTGGTCTAACTAATCTCATTCCTCTTAGAAACCTTGTACACTGTGAATCCAATATCAGTCGTCAATTTTCACGTTTTATGTACACCGTGAATCCAATATCAGCCCGTCAATTTTCACGTTTTATGTACACTCTGAATCCAATATCAGTCCGTCAATTTTCACGTTTTATGTACACTGTGAATCCAATATCAGCCCGTCAATTTTCACGTTTTATGTACACTGTGAATCCAATATCAGTCCGTCAAATTTCAATTTTAATGTACACTGTGAATCCAATATCAGTCCGCTAAATTTCAAGTTTAATGTACACTGTGAATCCAATAGCAGTCCGTCAATTTTCACGTTTTATGTACACTATGAATCCAATATCAGTCCGTCAATTTTCACGTTTTATGTACACTATGAATCCAATATCAGCCCGTTAAATCTCAAGTTTAATGTACACTGTGAATCCAATATCAGTCCGTCAATTTTCAAGTTTAATGTACACTGTGAATCCAATATCAGTCCGTCAATTTTCACGTTTTATGTACACTCTTAATCCAATATCAGTCCGTCAAATTTCACGTTTTATGTACACTCTTAATCCAATATCAGCCCGTCAAATTTCAAGTATTTGTCTGACATTTGAAAAACAATGATGGAAATGAAACAAGGTACACAGCACGCTGTCTTGGAAAAACTGTCATCCAAGCAACGAATGTTGCTGACCCAGACATTATTATATTTTAGAATACAACCAACATATTTATGTCCGGCATAAATGACCTATATTAACTGGCACATTTATTATGATTTAATGGTCATTTAAAGAAAGTATACTATACTTTTTCTGACATTGATGCAGGTTAGCGAGTCAGTAAAGATTGAAGAAGAAGGAGATTGCGGTGAATCCAGTTAATCTAAAAGCATTCCATCTCTATCACCTTTACATCCATTTTGTAAGCAACCAGTTCATCTACTATTACTTGCCAGTTTTTAACTATTTTTGCAGTGATGTTGGGAAGGTAGCCCTTTGCATGGATTGTATTGTATTTCGAAATACTGACTGTTTCATTCATTTTGAATTAAGTACTGTCACGTCGCCTCTTGTGGAAAAATATTTTCATATTCTAAGGGAACGATCTTATTCTAAGGTTGCAATTAATGAGTAGAGGCATCGAATAAAGGCAACAGTATTTAATGACAGAAAAATGACCCAAGCAAATCAAGTAACTGATATAAAATGTTTCTGAAACTATAGCGTGACTAACATTATGAAATGAATACATAATCAGTTAGTCTAACACAAATTTGTTTATAAAGCTTGTTAACTAAAGTTATAACTAAAAGTCAGCAGCAAGGAATTGCATATACTTTTCTAACCGAAAGTACGGATGTCCAGAGTTGAAGTATGTAAATACATGAGAATGTAATGTGTCAAACAACTAGAAAACAACGAAAATACTCATGTGTAGCTTGTTATTTCTTACATGCAGGGTTAATATGGTTAGTATTGAGTCACTCAAGCTATTGGTGTTCAATATGTTCTCATTTATTCCTTATGCATTCAATAAAAGGGGTGGGATTACAGAAAATCAAAGAACCAAGTCTGGGTTCAAGATTTACTATTGCTGGTGCACCATAGTCTTTAGTGTTCAATGTTCCTATGGTCTAGATATTGGTTAGGTGCAGATGTACCATGGCCTACGGTTCTGGTTCACAGTTTCAGATTTGGGTACAAGAGTGCACTAAATATGTCTGGTTCACTGCCAAGATGATTTTTACCCATCTTGATGCTAGGGTTTGCTCACACGCAGAAGACAGAGTTGTGTGAAATGAATTTCATATAAAAGGTGTATATTCCACAACATGAATAAAGTATCAGTATAATTTGTATTAAATTTAGCATAATAAATTATAGTAGCAATGAATATAAAAAGAGTTGTTAGATGCACATGTAGTGTATTCACCTTATATTTAAATTCCAAAGAGATAAGTTAAAAAAAACTTACGTAATTTTAATAAAATAACAAAATAACACTCTCCCAGTGTTATGTTATGCAATGGAATTATTTAGACAACTTTAGCATTTTTGTCAAATCTGATTTTAATATTGGCTGAGCCAATTTGTATTTCACGCCTTCGACAAACACTGGAGACCTCCATTTATATTATTATTATTATTATTATTATTATTATTATTATTATTATTATTATTATTATTATTGACGATTCAGAATCAAGCGTCAAAATTCTATGCTGAAAGTGACGTAATCGTATAAACATGAAGACCCAAGAACACGAGACACACTAAAGAATTTATTCTACAGATTTCCACATGAATGATTACAAATAAAATGCAAAATACACAAGGCATCACGCATTTAAGCTGTAAGTAAACAAGCATTGTGATAAAAGTATCAAATCAGCAATAAATACGTCTTTACAACATCCGTCAACAACACATCATTGCGGTAATACACAACATTGCTCCGCATGAATGAACGTTCAAATCACGTCTGCCGAAATAAGTCTACATATCGGTGAATTAAAACGGGGACAATTTAAGAATACAAATTACATATAACTAACAGGGCCATTTCTAGTTGCATGAAATGGTTTAATTCATGAACAAAATACATGTTACGATGGGACAGTGAACAAGAAATGCAATGCTGTAAACATGCTAAAGAGACGCTGTTGACCTAAGACAGATGTTCAGGCATAACAATAGGTTTATATGAACTAGTTTTCAAAAAAAACAAAAAAACTAAACACACAGTTGACATATATTGTTCCTTGCTCGCTTAAAACAGACTCATGTCTGTTGAAGAGTGGAGAGTATACAGAGTGTCTCTCAATTAGTTTGGTAATAAGGTCAACCCATAGTATGGTTTCATTTTTTGTGAAATACTTCCTCAATCAAGTTTCGATTACTCTGATATATATTTCCACTGCATGCGCTTTTCTGTCTGAGCACATTAAAAAATATTTCCTTGTCAAACAAGTCCTTGACTCTTGATTTAAAACTTTTCCCACTAATTAAACTATATATTCTTATTCTTTCATTTTTGAAGATGTCTTTGAAAACTTTGTATTTATCAGTTCCCTTTTTTCTTTTCACCATAACAACTCATTCGTATTCTAAAGACACACACACACACACACACACACTTATATATATATATATATATATATATATATATATATATATATATATATATATATATATATATATATATATATATATATATATATATATCTTTGTATGATAGATACTCTTACATGTCTCTAATA